AGCTAGGTTAAGAAGGTATTTTAAAGGATACTGAGGCTTCAGCGTATTATAGGTCATTATAAGGTCTCATTTGAAACTTCAAACAATTGAGACCCTATTAGGAGTCTTTTTAGCCATCGAAAATGAGTAATATAGTCTGACCTCATGGAGTCGAATAAATAAATATAACCCGACCCACTTATTCCTTGTAAAATGAATAGTTAAGAGTTTCTCTAGCACAATCTAACGTGCTTAACAAAAAAAACTGTCTGATAAACAAGAGTTAGGTACCTGAGAATCAATGAAAACAGTCTCAACAAGATGGGATCCGACATCTGTCTGCAAGAATTCCAGGAACCTTTGTAGACAGACAATCAAAGGTTAGCAATCATACAGTGAACCGCGAGACGATTTCAAGTTTCCTTGAACACAATCTTATAGGCAATGGTCAGGCAACATGCAACAGTAAATGAAGTAATAAATGGTAAATCTTTAACCAATATCAACTGAAAAAGCGTCGACAGGGAAGAATGAAAAACATAAAGCATGATTTAAAAATTCTGAACAAAGAGTAAAATGCGAGACAGGGAGAAAAAAAGAGTTACATTACTGTCTAATAAAATGCTGTGGGTGGATTTCCAGAGTTCTTTACTGTTACACTCCGGACTCATTGATTATGACTGCTCGTAACTGTTGGATAAAGCATTATCTAGCATTTATCTGCTTCTCTATCCTGAGTTAACAATCCTGTATATGATATGACGTGATTTGCCTTATTATGGTAATAATGCATTATCGTATTATGCCTGAGAGAGAGGGAAAATATTTTCAAACATCCGTTGTATCATATAGTCTGGGGTTTCAGTACTGAAAAAATTTTACTTACTCCTCTCCGCGAGTCTTCGAATTTCGTAACAGCAATAGAATTGGTCAGTGTTTCCAAGGCCATTTCATTTTCCTTTTGAGCGTTAGAAAAGGAAAGTCTTGGAGTTGTGTATACATCTCTGCATTTCAATTCCGTTGTAAACAAGTTATCAGGCATTTCATCAGAATCATATTCATTGATCAATGAGGAAAGTATTCCTTAGAGCATTCATACATTTTTCAGATCCCAGAGGGATTCACGAGCTGCGATTAGAGGTTTATCATCTCTGACTAGTGAGTTACATCAACCAAGAATATAACGTTCATGACCAGTTATGCTCAAAACAGAAACTTCAGAATCAAACTTTCCGAGAGAATTGACAGATTTGATACGACTGGTGTCAACAATGAAATTACTAAAAACAGTGTCAGGCAAAAATAATCGTTTTTAAATGTGAAGTAAATTACCTAAAGTTTTAAATAAGAACCTTATGTGGTTACTAGAAAATGATTCACTTAGTATTGTTTGTTTGAATCTTTCCATTGATGTTTAGGACTGCAACTGGTCAGTCTCTAATTGGCATATGTGAATAATTTGCGTATTGCCTCGATATAGTCTGAATTCACAAGCATGGTAATCAAAGATGGAAAGTGGCTAGCAGTGGAATTCAGGAGGCGCGTTTCGCCCTATTTGAGACTCATCAGCTGGATGTATCTTCATCTTAGAGCTGCTGTTCACTCTGGGACTCGAACTCAGTACCTCTCGCTTCAAACGCCATCCCGTTACCCACTCGGCCACTGAGTCCTGATAGCCACTTTCTTGTGCAATGGTGTGAAGTTTAAATTGACTTAGAGACTGACCAGTCCTAAACATCAATAGGAAGATTCAAACAAACAGTACGAAGCGTCCTGAATTACACTGCTAGCCACTAACCGTCTCTGCCTACAAAATGATTGTTTACCGAATTCACAGCCATCTTTTTTAAATGCTTTCTAACTCTTCAATGAGTCGGTTCCCGTGTTTCCACTCGAATGGGATTATGTTTATTCAAACGCCTCTTTGAATACTAGTCAGATTAGGGCAATTAAGTAACTTAGTGGAATTCTGGATGCCCAGAAATTCAGTTTCATGCAATGCTCCATGATTAGTACACGTAGTTCTGACATCATGAAAGAAACACTTCGGCGTTTATATAAGCTTTCTCCCATAATTGATATGGTAATACTTACAATCAATCGGTCACGCAGATAAATATGTAATTGATCACCAAAATGACACTTGAAGGCTTGTTTCTAAAATTCGGGGGAAAAATCTCTAACCCTTGATTTAGTTTGACGAATAAGTTTATAGGACTTTGGCCTTTCTGGACATTCAAATTCTGTGCATTTCACATAGCTTAGTGGTAGGTGTAAGGTCCATTATGAAGATTTCGTGTGTGAAAATCTCTTTATGCATACATTTTCAACCTTTTTCTTAATGGTTTCTTTAATTGTACATTTTGTTAGGCTATTGTGATGCCATTTGGGATTGTAATGTTTCATTTCATTATAGTTTTCTCATCTTCTCTTTCACTTTCACTGAGTTTCTATGTTTCTTTCTGAACTGTATCTATGTTGTTTTAGTTTATATTTAATCTTGGCGGTAGCCATATTGATTGCTTCCTCTTTCATTGAGTCGCTTGAGTTGACTGGGATCGTGCATTTCGGTTGTGAATTGAAGCACTTTTCCAGAGTTAGAAACACTTTGTGTTATAAAGCAGAAAACTATTATCTTTTGAACGGATTTTTATTTGATCTATCCAGAAAGGATAGAATAACACTTATTTTTTGATCGACTATTGTGGGACAATTATTGGTTCAATAACTGAGTGGTAATATTTGTTTAGAACCGTTGTTACCCCAATCACGTTGTTTTTATTTCCAGTGAACTCCACGTGTCTCTACGTAACTAGACAGTTATTCTTCAGCCAAACTTAGTTTGGATCTTACAGTGGGTCTTTGAGGAATTCATGGGAAAGTAAAGTGTCAAATGTTTTAGCAAGCTGTAGGTGTCCATTTCGATGAATTCGAAGAAATGAGCCACGAGATTATAATCTCTTAAATCTATCTCGGGGATAATTAAGATTTTAAACTTTCCCATGTAATCTTTAAAGTTCTCAGTATTTGAATGTAAATCCAACTTTCGAATCACAGACTCTAATGGGACGCCAATATGATAATCGATGTTCTAACTAATTGTTGTGTCGGTCGCTATATCAGGCCTACAAAACTGATTCTAGCTTTCGGACAGACCAATTTATTTATTTTTGGGTCGCACCTTGATCTTGTTGATTATTGGCTTATCAACTTTGACTGTTTTTTATGTAGGCGTATGTATGTGCATTTGATATCTTACTCACCAAATATCTGTAACTTATTTATATTCGACTATAAATATGGATTCACGTTTGATCAAATTGATTTGGCTCACTCGCCTTCTCCACCGCGCGTCATTTCGCTTCGTTCCTCTGACTATTAGGCCTGATCAATGATCGTACAAAATATACGTACTCAAAAATTCATTCTCGTATTTTACTTATTTAGTTCCGTTATACACTAATTCGAGTTAAGTCGATGAATATAGAAGAGGGTAGCCAGGATGTATATTTTACAGCAGCCATTCGATAACGATCATTGTTCTGATCTAACTGGAGTCAGATACCGGGCCACTAATTAATAATTCTCAGAATAGTACGATTGAAGACGGATAGAACTAGATAGGTACTACCGAACGTGTCATTTATAGGATTTGTAATGAGCGCCAAATCATGTACATAGCAATCATCATCTAGCACAAATGCAACACAAACACCCATTCACCAATCGAAAGTAAACGACCGCCTGGAACAGCTATGCCTGATGCATGTCTCATTACTTGCCAACTGCTATCCTCATCACATATGATTTACTTATTCTTATTTTGCTCATTATATCTCCATATTCTGCTTTATTCTTACGTTCTCCTCTCCTCACACTGTCAACATTACCAGTTAATTAAAATATTTCTATATTTATTACTCGAAATAATCGTCTTTTCTTAGGACTCGAGTCATCACTTTATTATTTTACACACTTCAACCAACTAACTGCCTGCTAGGCAATGCGATAGCTGACGGCATCCAGTAGAACTACTGCATGAAGTCAAACGCGTTTAATCAGATTACACCATATGCAAATACAAAGTAAACTAAAAAAGACCAGAACTAGTGCAATCAAGTGACTAAACCACACTCCAATGGACGTTATCAAGTACTTGAAACCGTACAAAGACGATAAAAAGAGAGCGTAAATAAGACAATTGGTCCACATCAGTTCATTACGATGATATTGTTTATGTGACAGAATTTGTTGGCGCGCGTTTGGGTTTTGTACCTAAGGTTAGTAGTTTCGTATGGCTGTTGTCTTTAATTATACCTTTTTAGCGCTATTAACTTTCATATGGTTTATACAAATAAAAATTTCGCTTGCCGCGACTTAAAATACACTGGTTTATTTTAAATGTATAGATATTCAGTTCCAGTTTGGAAAGAACATGAGGCTTGATGGCCGGCCTGTGTTAGTCCTGGCAATGATGGTCTCTTAGTTGATCCAACTTTCTTCTGAAAGAGTCGACGGATGGAGCCTCAACAACGTGCTGAGGTAACGAGTTCCACTCGTTAATGATTCGATAGGAAAGTCGATAGTCAGCTGACAAGTAATTCGTTCTTGGCTTGTGAACTTATTTGGAGTGTCCTCGTAAATTTTCTGTTTTGGAAGACAAAAAAATGAGGGTATATCAGGTGCAAATTTGTCATTAAGCAATTTGGAAACTGTAATCAAGTCGCCTCTGATTCTTCGATATGACAGCGGGAATATGTTTAGTTTGGCCAGTCTAGTATCATACGGGTCTTCAGTCTTCAGTAATAAGGATAGTAGGTTGATGAACCTGTGTTAATCCTGACAGATTTCCTTCCAGTGAAGGTCCAGCTTCTTTTTGAAAATGTTCACTGATGGTGCTGATACCACTTGTTCTGGTAAAGCGTTCCAATCATTGACCACTCGATGAGAAAAACGGGACCCCACCTTTAGTTTATTAGATCGCGGTTTCAGAACCTTCTTGCTATGACCCCGGAGATTATTAGTGCTGGAGGGAGCAAAAAGATAAGACATATTAACACCCAGATCATAATTAAAGATACGAAATGCCAGTATAAGGTCACCTCGCGTCCTGCGATAAAATAAGGGGAAAGATTTAGACGTTTTAAACGCTCATCGTAAGAAAGTTTAGAAAGACCCTTTACTAATTTTGTCCCTACACGCTGGACACGCTCAAGCGATTTAGTATCCTTTATCAGACAAGGGCTAGCTGCTTGGATACAGTATTCTAAGTGTGGCCTTACATAGGTGGGATATAAAATTCGAAACATCTCGTCAAAGCATTTAAATGCTCTGCGAAGCGACCATAGCGCGCGAAAGCCTTTGGAAGCAACCGCGTTGCAGTGCGTAGTAGTTTTTAAGTCGTGACTTATAATTACTTCTAAGTCTTTGTGCTCATGAACGCGTGGCAGAGATGTACCATTAATGGTATAATGGTAACTAATATCGTGCCCGATGTGCATGAACACGCTTTTCCTGGAATTAACTTCCAGGCCCCAATCATGAGCCTACCTAACTAATTTGTCTAAATCTGCTCGTAGATAACAACGATCAGTCTCATTTCTTATTGTTCTCCAGATTTTAACATCATCCGCAAACAATAACGTCGACGACTTAAGCAATAAAGGTAGTTCATTAATATACAGAAGGAAAAGTAGAGGGCCTAAGATGGTGCCTTGGGGTACACCATTTTTGACCGGTTTCCATTCGGATAGCGTTCCATTGACCCTTACTCTCTGTCTGTGGTCACATAAGAAGCTTCCTATCCATTCCTGTATAGCACCTATTATTCCAAAGCTCGAGAGCTTTTGCATAAGACCTAAGTGTGAAACCTTATCAAACGCTTTGCTAAAATCTATGAATATCACGTCGACAGACTGGCCGTTGTCTAGGGCAGCTGTCCAATCCTCTCTCGCAATGAGTAAGTTAGTCAAGCATGAATGCTTGTTACGAAACCCATGTTGCTCGGGAGTTAACAGATTGTACGAATCTATGTGGCTTAGTAGCTTAGCCCGAATCAATTTTTCAAGTAACTTAACTACTATACTGGTCAGGCTAACAGGCCGTTAGTTAGATACGATCCGTCTCTGACCATCCTTAAATATAGGACTAACTATGGCGTCTTTCCAGTCTCTAGGTAGTTGAGCCTGTGAAAGGGACATGTTGAAGGGCATCGTGAGCGGTCTTGAGATAATGTCCGCAAGCGACGACAGTAAACGTGGGTGTAACCCATCGGGGCCCGGTATCTTACAAGGTTTTAGGTTAGTTATCAAAGGAAGAACTATATCCTCTGTCACGTGTAAAGGTCCTATGGCTGGTATCTCATTGTCAACGGGACAAGTAGTTGTAACACTACACGTAGAGTAAACTTCACTGAAATAGTTAGCAAATGTCTCCGCTTTCGCTAGATCAGATTCAGCCAATAAAGCTGAATTTTCGCTTAACAGTAATGAGGGGATACCATCACTACGTTTCGTCCGCCTTTTAACGTACGAAAACAGTCGCTTCGGACAGGTACGGCTATCGTATGCCAACTGTCGTTCGTAAGCCGTGCGGGATTTAGCTATGGTCTTTTTACATATATTCCGGATTTTTTTATATTCGCATTTAAATGATGTCTGACCTGTTGACAAGAATACGTCCCAGAAGTGTTTCCTACGTTTCAACAGCTTCCGGGTTTCCTTATTAATCCATGGAGGGCAATATGATAGCTTACGTACTGACCATGGAATAAACGGTTGAGTTACGGATTCGAACGTAGACTTAAACCTATTCCATGCATCATCAGCATCGACCGACCAGTCAATTGAGATAGCATAGTCCCTGATTGCCGGAATATTAGCTCTCCAGATATTAGGACGGGGTGGAGCAGATGCAAATTCTATACCATGTATCCGGAACTTAAAGGAAAGTACGACATGGTCACTATTCGCCAGTGGGGGAAGGTGTTGAGTGTCGACGATATCTTCACAGTGGTGTGTGAGGACAAGGTCTATCAATGACGGATTATGTTCCAAGTCTATATGCGTCGGCTTAACGATACATTGTACAAGTGCACATTGAATAATTGATGACAGAAGGACGCTATCGAAACCCCCACCTGGAGCTGTGAGCTCTATCCAGTTTATATGGGGTGCATTGAAGTCTCCAACGATGAGACAACATTCTGCCTTACTCCAAGAACAGACGTGTCTTAGGATAAAGTCGTCAACGAGACAACACGGACTACGATATATTCCTCCTATCGTCACTAACCCGTTTCTAGACCTAATTGTACAACATACTACCTCACACGTACCACTTGCATGCGCCTCCGATATGATCGAGTTTATGCAGAAGTGGTCCCTAACATATACTATTATGCCTCCTTCCTTGCGACTTCTAACTCTATCACTTCTGATACAGATGTAGCCTGAAATGACTGGAGAACAGTCTATATCTACAGTGAGCCAAGTTTCGGTGATAACAATTATATCCGGATTTAAGTCGTCTACCATCAAACTTAGCTCAGACATCTTATTTCAAAGACTACGAGCATTCGTGTAACACACATTTAAGGTGTTTTTGGAGACATACGTTCTACCCACACAGGTCTCGGAAGCATTGGCTTCCAAGACCTGACTACCCGAAAACTCTTAATCGTAAGGTTCGCTTCACCGTTTAGCTTTCGAGTTTTTAACTCTGTTAGGGCATTCTTCCACTTGATCCGATCTTCAAATGGCCAGTCAGGTCGAATACGAATGTTTGAGTCACGAGTTTTGCGTGCGTTATTTAGTAATACGTCCCTTTCCTCAAAATTACCGAGTACTAATTTAAGGATTCTTCTCTGTTGGGTTTCACCTCCAACATATTTACCGAGTCTGATGACTTTCGAGATATGTACCCCTGGGACCTCATCGGGCAGTATATTTCTGATGAGAGATCCCACTAACTGCAGGTCGTGGGCATGTCTCTTAGCTGGACCGGTGTCTTACGATTCTGCCAAGTCCCAGATGATTACATTAGGCACCTGTTTAACTTCCTTAAAAGTCGTGTTCACGGCCTTTGACATTGATGACAGATCCTGCCTGTTAGCTACCGGCTTCTTACTGTTAACTTTCTTTATAACAGTGTCATGTGGGTCGAGCGAGTGACTCACAATAACATTTGGTGAGGTTAAACTGTTTCCATCCACAACAGTACTAGTTATTTTCTTACATTTGGACTTGAGCGGAGTTGCCTTATGCTCAGGACGTGAGTTCAACGAGGACTTATCGACTATACGCGCGCTTTCTTTGGGTATTTTTTCGTCCCTTTTGCGTTTCCGCGTAATCCATTTCCCACTAGTCTCAGCATCCAGATTGGAACTACTCTGGACGATAGTGGTTCTAGCCGGGACCTCAGTCGCTGCTAAAGCAACTGATCCCTCAGTACTTAATGGCATGGCTTTCATTGGTTGTATCGGAGTAGAAATTTTTGCTTCATGTTGCGAAATTTGGTGTCTGGTACCTGCCATGGCAGCATTTACGACACTGATACAATCTTCGTTATCAGTATCCATGTTGCCGGCACGGCCTATGTCGACCTTTTTAGCTAACGCTAGAAGGCTGATGGCTTCCTAAATGAGTAATGTCTTGCTTGAGCAACAAAACATACAGAGCCAATGAGAATTTGGTTTCGAGCACCTTTTATAGGCAGCAGGGCTTAAGTGGGTGCACATTTTGTAAAACCACTTCTTACATTCGTCACATTGCATCCCTTCTTCCACGGGGAATAAGCAATATGGCTGTCCACACTTGTGTACAGAGCCGACCATCTTAGAATGAAGCAAAATGATAGGCAAGGTAGATATGTAAGACAAATCACAACCTTAATCAAATAAACAAGCTGCTGTCGACCAAGAATGCTTTGATGCAGTAAATACACAAAAGCAGGATCAATACACACAAATACAATGTCACGTTAACTGAAATAAATTCAATTAAAGTGTAAACGGTAGTTTTGATACGTAATTTACGATCAAAACAGTGAATTTAACTCAACGAGAAACAATACCACTGTCCTTTTAAATAGCGCGCGTTTGTTGCTTCGCTATTCCGGGAATCAGCTTAGTTGCTGTTCTCTGAACCCTTTCCAAGAGCTCATTGTCTTTTTTAGGCAGGGGCTAGCCGTTTGTATGCTGTGCTCAGGTTTAGGACTCACGAACACTGTATACAAAGTCGAAAACGTTATAGCGCCGATATGACTAAAACCTTACATATGGACCATAAAGTTCTACAACCTTGAGCGGCTATTTCGCGGCATTGTACAGTAGTCTTCAAGTATTGGCTGATGATGATTCCTGAGTCATTGTGTGTCTGCACAATAGGTAGCTCAGTGTTATTCATCATGTATATATCTGTACCTTGATGACCAATATGCATCACAATGCACTTGGAAGTATTTATCGGCAACTGCCAGGTTTGGGACCATTCAGATAATATCTCCAGGTCATTTGGAGTTCTAAGCTATCATCCTTACTTTGTATCGCTCTCCATATCTTGACATCGTCAGCATATAGCAAGACTGATGACGATGGTAGACAAAAGAGCTCATTTACGTACGAGAGAAATAACACTGGCCCCAAAACTGTACCCTGGGGGACTCCACTAAACACAGTTTCCCAGCTAGACAATTTGGAGCTGACCCGTACTCTTTGTTGGCGCCCAACTAAGAAGTCTTTTATCCACATCAATAGATTGCTTCCAATCCCGACATTCCTTAGCTTATATAACAACCGGTTGTGCCGAACTTTGTCGAAAGCTTTGCTGAAGTCTATGTAGGCTACGTCTACAGGTAACTTTTGGTCCTTAGGAGCGCACCAGCTTTCACGAGCGACTAATAAGTTAATGAGACAAGAATAGCTTGTCCTAAAATCATGCTGCTTCTCCGAAAGGATCCGGTTTCTACCGAAGTACTTAAACGGCTCCTTCCGAATAATCTTTTCTAATATTTTAACAACCACACTAGTTAGGCTAATGGGTCGGTAATTCTCAGGTTTATGTTTTGTACCTGTTTTGAAGATAGGACTTACTATGGCGTTCCTCCAGTCTTGGTAGACGACCCTGGGTCACTGATAGATGAAAACATATACTTAAAGGGTTCGCAACAAAGTTAGCTAATTCCTTTAGCAACCTAGGATGCAGTTCATCGGGTTCAGAGGATTTGCCTATGTCAAGCTTAATTAGCAGACCAAAAACATCGAGTTCTTTAATGGTCACACTGCCCAGTGCTTGTGTGGAGGGGTTTTCATGAACTGGTGGGAAGGGTGTTTTTATGGTATGCACATTGCTAAAATATTTTGAGAATACTTGAGCTTTTCCAAAGTCGTCCTCCACTAGTGATGAGGCAGTACTGTCTCCCTATAGTGAGGGAACATTTCTTCTTTTTGCCCTTTGGTTTATATACGAATACAAGCGTTTAGAGCATTCTATGGATTCCTTAACAATTTTCTCTTCGTATAGCTTTCTGGACTTACGGAGGGTCGAAGCACAAGTATTTGGAGCTTTTTGATACCGATATTTTGCCTCATCAGTACCCAGTAACCTAAGTCTATCCCGCATTTTCCTTCTTTTACGGAGAAGGATGCGAACCTCCCTACTGAACCATGGTGAGTTCTCGGCCCCCTAGGTGTAGTCCAAGGGGCGGTAACTTTTAACTATAAATTTCGAAATACACCCCAAGCTGTTTCAATTGAAGACTCTGGGTCTAATGTCCAATCTACTGATGTTGCTGAGTGCATGATGTTTGGTATGTTCGCAGTCCAGACGTTAGGTCTAGATTGAGCTGAGGCGTGCTTATGATCGACAGTTATATGGAATTCAAAGGTTAAAAATGTATGATTACTTTTACCTAGAGGTGGCATGTAATCCAGGTTCGCAACGTCATCTTCATAGTGAGTCAACATAAGGTCTAGTAAGGGTGATTCAGAGCCCTGGTCGTACCTAGTCGCTTCTTTCACATGTTGAACTAGGGCACGTGTGATAACCGCATCAACTAGTTTCTGCTCGAAGGAATTATCTGACGATTCAGTTCTCAGATTTTCCCAGTCTACCATTGGTGTGTTAAAGTCCCCTAGGATTAGACGTCGACCACTTTGTAACCAAGTATTGAGACTGCTTAGCAGGACCTCATTTACCTCACAGCTTGGACTGCGATAGACCAAACCAATCAGTAGCTCTTGTCCTTTGCATTTCAAGCGGCAACTAACTAGTTCACACGTCCCACTCTCATGGGATACACTGTTGATAGTGGTGAATGGGATAGTATTCCTAAAGAATAGAGCTACTTCCCTTCTACGCTTTTGTATTCTGTCGGCCCTTACTAATGTAAAACCCTCGAGGTCAAGTTCCCTACTATCTATAGACTGCGTCAGCCAAGTTTCTGTGAGTGCGATTATGTCTGGCTTAGCAGAGTCAATCCGTACACCTAATTCCGATAGCTTATTGAGCAAGCTCCGGGCATTGGTGTAACAGGTCCGAAGCCTATTTAAATGGCCTCGTGCTTTACCCACAGTGGCTTCGGCATCATCCTCTGTCAAAGCCTCTTAACCCGAAAATTTACAATTCTTTGGTCTTTTTCGCCAGCGTTTCATCTAAGCTGTAGTTCTTTTTCGGCTTCCCGTCTTTTTGCAGGGTCCACCAGCGGTGAGTCCTTACGGAGAAAAACTCCTGAACCCTTTAATTTATTTCCATTTTGTAAAATTAGGTCGCGTTTATTTGGAGATTTGAATACTACTTTAAGCAGTCTGGATTGATTAGGCTTCAAATTCGCCAGGCTACCTAGTCTATAAACCTTTAGCAAGGTGGCTCCGGAGATATTTTGAGGTATAACTTGATTGAGTAGCTGTTTTATCAACACAATGTCATGCTCAAAACGAGCTTTCGGTTCAGGGCTTTCACTTTCCTTGATTCTATAAAATATAACTGGTCTGTCGCTGTGATCAGTCTTCAATTTCTCGACTACTTTGAAGGAGGCAGGATTCCCTTTTACGTTGTTATGTCGTTTTTTGCTTACAACCTGCGCCCAATCGTCAACGTTCGTTGGAGTAGTGACCACAGTCACGTCAGGCATACTATGGGATTCCGGAAGGTTGTCGACGACTTGGGAGGTCAGGTCATGTTTCGCGCTGAAAACCGACCGAGCCTTGCGATTGCGGCTTCTAGAAGTTTCCTGCTGGGTACCATTTTGAAGGCGAGAGACAGAAAAACTTCTTGAGTTTTTGGTTGGGACAGTATCACAGCCCACACACAAATGACATGAAATGACACACTACACTAACTACACTGCTCTCGTTCCTAATAGAAAAAAGACAATTTACGTTATCATTATTATTATTACCATTATTATTATTATTATTATTATTATTATTATTATTATTATTATTATTATTATTATTATTATTATTATTATTATTATTATTTACTACGTCGCTTTTTCACTCCCTTTATTCCCAAATTGTGTATCCTTCCTTTCCAACTTATGCAGTAGCTCGCCCATGGTGGAAACTCTGTCCTATCTAAACGATCTCCAGTCACTGTCTGGTTGAAAGTGAATGCTTCCACCGATTACGAATACTGAAGCAGTCTTTCTGAAACCACGTACGCCGTTCAAGCTGGCTTCCTTCAACGTTCTCACACTAATGCAGATCGGACAACAGATAGGGCTGGCTATGTATTTAGAAAGTCTTAATGTTGATGTTTGTTGTCTATCTGAGACCCGTATTCAAGACTCTAGTGAAGTACTACAAATTCGCTCACCATCTGTCGCTTCGAAAAGCTTGTTTCACGTGCGCTTATCCGGGGACCCTGTGGCATCTTCGTCTGGTCTTGCAGGCGTTTGTGTTGCACTAAGCGCTAGGGCTGAGGCAGCACTAATCGATTGGATCCCCATTAACAGTCGGTTATGTGCTGTTAGATTAGAAAGTTCCATCGAAGTGAGAAGAAATCGGCATGAGAAACGATGTCTTTTCGTCATCTCCGCCTATGCCCCGACAGATTGCAGCCCGGATGCAATCAAGGATGAGTTTTACCACCAGTTAACAGTTCTTCTCCAGAAAGTGCGTTCGACAGATATTGTAGTATTAGCCGGAGACTTGAATGCACAGGTCGGGTGTCTAGGCACAGAAGAGAGTCGTTTAGGTGGCCGATGGGGATTTGTTGGTCGCAGAACAGATAACGGGGACCGTTAGCTGCAACTGTGCACAGACCACAATCTGTTTCTGTCTAGCACTAACTTCCGGCACAGTCATCGCCGGTGTGCCACCTGGCGTCCTCCCTCTGCATATCAAGCCTGGACTCAGATTGATCACATCGCGATCAGCTACCACTGGCGTGGTTGTGTACAAGACTGCCGCTCCTTTTGGAGTACCTATCTGGAGTCTGATGATGCCCTGGTCTGCGCCAATCTCACCTTACTTTTCAGTGGCCGAAGGATTGACCACCACCAACGGATCGATGTTAGTAAACTGGCTGCAACATCTGTTGCAAGTAAGTATCGAGCGGAGCTAGCTTCTAGGCTAGCTACCATCCCACCGAAAAGTATAGGTGAGCATTGGTTGCTTCTTCACGACGCTATAAAAATGGCGAGTAAAGTCGCTTGCGGCTTCGCGAAACGTCCCGCTTACAAGCACTGGGTTTCTTCTGGCTCCTTACAACTAATGGAAGCCTGTCGGTCTACTCCGGGTGACCGTGAGTTTGACCACAAATGAAGGATGTTACTTAGTAAAATCGGGCAAAGCTTGCGTAAGGACCGAGAAGCCTGGTGGTCGGAGCGTGCTAATGAGATGGAAGCAGCAGCTACATCCGGTAACTGCCGGAAGCTCTTCCAACTCATCCGAGCCACTGGCAGCAAGACGTCTGGAGTGAGTGAAACTATATACGAGGATGACGGGATGCCAATCACTAACATCTCTCGACGTCTTGGACGATGGGCGGAATTTTTCGAAGGGCAGTTCAACTGGCCTGCTGCTCCGGTAACATCAACCAGTTTGTTCTGCCCCCCATGGCCGGTGACGACTGATCCACCAAACGAGGCGGAAGTCCGCAAGGAACTCCAACTCTTGAAACGCTACAAATCACCGGGCTCAGATGACTTACCTCCGGCTCTTTTTAAAGATGGTGATGACTTCCTGGTTAAGGAACTGACTGTGTTGTTTATAAAGCTTTGGGAGTTAGAGAGTGTTCTAACGACATGGAATGAGTCGATAGTTGTCCCTATCTTCAAAAAGCGTTCACGTTGTTCCTGTAACAACTATCGGGGGATAAGTCTACTTTCGATTGCGTCCAAACTATTGGCTTCTATCATTCTTCGTAGGTTGTTTAAAACCCGAGAACGATTGACTCGCGAGGAGCAGGCTGGTTTTCGTTCTGGTCGAGGATGCATTGATCACATCTTCACCCTCCGCCAAATGTTAGAACACCGTCATACTTATCGAAGGCCGATTGCGTCCAAATTATTGGTGTTCGTATACAGGGTCTTTAAAATGTTAATGAACTTCTCAGGCACACCCTCCTTCACTAGACAACCCCAGAGAACAGTCCTGTTCAACGAATCGAAGGCTGCCTTGGTGTCAAGAAACACTATGATTGTTGACCTGTAATAAATATGACGGTACTCTAACATTTGGCAGAGGGTTAGGATGTGATCAATACATCCTCGGCCAGAACGAAAACTAGCCTGTTCCTCACGAGTTAATCGTCCCCGGGTTTTGAACAGTCTGTGAAGTATAACGGGAGTCAATAATTTGGACGCAATCAGGAGAAGTAGACTTATCCCCTGATAGTTGTTGCATGGGTGTATTGGACTCTTTCGAGATAGGAATAACTATCGACTTATTCTAGGATGTTATAACACTGTCTAATTGTCTGACATTTGCATACAACTCAGTTAATTCCTTGACCAGTAGGTCGCCACTAACTTTAAAACGGGTCGGAGGTAGGTCATTTGGGCATGGTGATTTGTAGTGTTCCAAGAGTTGAAGTTCCTTGCGAACTTCGGCCTCGTTGGGTGGATCAGTCGACACTTGTCAGAAAAGACAAAACGGTCTGATCGATGTCACTGGAGCAAAAAACCAGTTAAACTGCTCATTGAAATACTGTGCCTATTGTCCAAGATGTTGGCAAATGTCATCAATTAGCGTTCCATCAGTGTTACAGATTGTTTCACACACACCCGACTTGTTGTTGCTAGTGACTCGGATGAGTTGAATGAGCTTCTGGTAGCTACCAGATACAGCTGCTCCTTGCACCTCGTTAGCGCGCCCCGACCACCAGGCTTCTCGGTCCTTACGCAAGCTTTACCCAATTTCATTACGCAACAGTCTTTGTTTGTAATCAAACTCGCGGTCACCTGGAGTAGACCGACGTGCTTCAATGAGTTGTAAGGATTCTGTAGAATCTTCATATTATAACTGTAATTTGAATGGTTTCTCAAGATTTCTTTAAGCATTACATTTTCAACACTTCTTTGGAATCCAGCATAGCATCTTTGACGGGTTCAAACCCAATGCAATTCTTCCAAGCTTCTGTTTATGACGAAAAATTTTACTCATAGACAAAATTTATAAGTTCTAAAATTAGCAGTGAATGTTTATTAGAGCATTACACTACTGACAAAGTAAGGTGATTCACGTGATGGCAAATATTTCTAAGAGATGTGGTCAGTTCATCCTATTTAACGGATTACAGATCTCTTTTTAACTTAAATAGTTGTAAATTTTGGAGACAATAAGTTTGGTCTTCTATATTCTACTGTTCCACTCAGAAACAGTTCACTCAGACCTTAATGCTTCTAAACAATTGAAGAAGTAGTTGTCCAATTAGCCTCAAAGTTTTATCGCTATTCCCAACCTCAACTCTGGTAATGTGAATAAATCCTCCTGTGGTGTCTAACATGAAATAAGTTTTCAGTTATTCAATACGTATATTAACCGACACCAAAGGAAGTATGTCCATAATAAAACGACCTCGTCATCCATGCAGTTTGTCAACACTTTCCGTAACATCACACATTGACACGATTTACTCAGACTAATTATTTAAGCTAATCATCGTGAAGCAACTTGCCAGTCAGTATGTCGTGGTTTTTTTCAAAACCAATAGATATTATCACACTCGCCAGTTCGAATTTTTTCCTCATCTGTTAACCACCATTAGCCTAGAACCTGGAGGGAAATGTCCATCGGTCTAAGTTGCCACATCTCATGTCAACAGAGAAAGTAAAGAAATAAAGATACACTTTACGGTGAACAAATGTGATGGTAGAATAGAGTGTTGGGAACGAAGCTCAATTGAGAGTAAGGTAGAAAGTAAATTCAAGTGTACTACCTCAGTCTATTTTGCACCGTATCACCCATTGTCCAGGGAAAGTCCACCTAAGGGAGTTGGAAAACCCTGATTCCAAACCAATGGTGCACATGGGCTCCAGTATCCTGAGGGAACAAATGGCATTACCTCACGATGCTCCATTGCCTTGTGGATCAGGCCTCTAGGTCAAAGGCTCCGCGTGTGGCTCCCTAAGAAAACCACCTGCTTCAGCTTGAGCACCTGGGCAGTATCACAGCCCTCACACAAATCAAATGAGATTTGTGTAGCGCATATGTATCTGGTGCCCCTTTATACCAATATTTATATGTTTAACTAAATAA